ATGAACATAATTTTTAATGAGGATACCAACTTCACAAGTAGTGGTTTACAGAGGGGTCCTCGGACAAGTAAACATATACTAAAAATAATTAAATTACAAATGAAAATAACTAGACAGAACAAACAAGTCATTACAATTCAGTTTTTTCGAGGCGGTTCTTAAAGTGCTTATGTCACAAAAATTGTTTTTTGATATTTGGTAGAGGACAAAAAGTTAGTTAATAGGTTCTTTAACATTTTTCGGTTTTCTCTTTTCATTCGCGAGATATGAGGCTCTAAACCTTGAAAAATTGGCTTTTAGCGAAAAATTGTCGCGCCCGAGAAAAAACCGGAAAAGGGTCTGGGGCGAGAGCCGTGTGACGTAGCTTAAGGGACGGAAGTTCGAATTCACATGTGAAGGAGTACTAAAAACCTATTGGGAAGACATATGTTTTCCAGCACTCATGGTTCTCAATGTGACTCAGAATACAATTATATTCCTTGGTATATTATACAGGATGAATCAAATGATACTAGTCACGAAATTGGAACTCTAGAAGCAGTTGATAGCGAAATTTTAGGCGATTATGATGCATATTGTCTTTATGCCGATGAGCCGCTAGCGAGCCAAGAATGCTACGCGCGATAAAAGCTACGCGCGATATTTAAAACTATGCGGAACACAAGGAACAAAACGAGATGCTAGAACGAAGATTAGACGGCCTTGAAGATATTAAATCATGGTGAGCGTAAACATAGATTTATTTAACATTTTAACGGCGTAAAACAAGTATCTCTGGCTGATATATTTTTGATACGGCATCAGTCACATCAAACCCTCACCTGTATCATATTTCACAAGTGTAAATGCGGCGATTGTGCGATAATACATATACAATATACACACGAAGCTTGGTGCTGTCAGGAGATGGAATCTTGTAGGGATGTTCTGAAGGATAACTTCGTTTTAGAAGATGTGCCACAGCCGCCGTGCTGTATCACTCTACACTCGGGATTCAGACCTATTTGTTTGGAAAAATGGGCTTTAAGAATTGAACTTGCGAGAAAATACAATCGTTCGTTCGTATTAAATAAACGTGATCGCAGATAAACACTGTAGCTTCAAACAAGAATATATACGTAATTTGCTCGGAACCAGTCTGTTTATATTTTCTTTGATCTCGTGTCTTGTATTTTCTTGCGAAGGTGATGGAAGTGTGGTTTTAACTCTTTGTTGTGACTGATGCCATATGAGCCCGTATCCCGCAAAATATAATATTAGCCAGAGATACTTATTTTACGTTAAAATGTTAAAATAAATCTATGTTTACACTCACCATAATTTAACATCTTCAAGGCCATCTAACCTTCGCTGTAGCATCTCTTTTTGTTGCTTGTGTTCTGCTGAATTTCTGAAATATCGTGCGTACCATTCTTCGCCGGCTAGCGGTTCATCGGCATAAAGGCATGCATCATAATCGCCTAAAATTTCGCTATCAACTGCTTCTATAGTTCCAATTTCGTGACTAGTATCATTTGATTCATCCTCTATAATATATCCAGGAATATAATTGTATTCTGAGTCACATTGAGAACTATGAGTGCTTTCCGAATCCGAGCTACTGCCTCACATGCTGGAAAATATATCAAATGTATAATGCGCGTCGAAATTAAGTCCCTTAAGCTACGTCACACCACGCTCGTCCCAGACTCTTGTTGATACGCGACAATTTTACGAAAATCGCTGTTTAGAGCCTCGTATCTCGCGAATGAAAAGAGAAAACCGAAAAATGTTAAAGAACCTATTAACTAACTTTTTGTCCTCTACCAAATATCAAAAAAAAATTTTGTGACATAAGCACTTTAAATGAGGTTATCGAGGTGGAGCTTTTTAGATCATCATCCAGACTATTCCAGACTTCAGAAACAAAGTTTACCGTTGTCCAGTGACCCCACCTCCTCGAAGCCTTGGTTTTCCTGATGTTATTCTTAGATCTAGTATTATATCTATGGAAATCACAATTAAGTTGAAAACTAAATTGGTGCGATAACATATTATTGATGGCCTTATATGCAAATATGGCTCGATGCTCAGCTCTTCTACGTTTTAAGGATTTCCATTTAAGCTTACTGAGAGCATCGGTTGCAGAGAAATATATAGGTTGATCTAAGACTATCTTAGCAGCTTTATTATTGTGAAAGTGTCAAGCAAAACTACAGATTACTGCTTTACTGTGGTAGCTTCCTCTAGTGGTCACACACCTGGTCAATGGTGGCACGCTGAACAATAACCCCACTGACCTCAAAACTAGGACTGGATAGATGCTTTGCATAAATGAAGCGAATGCCTGGTATATTGGTGTGAACAACACAAATTTCCATGATGTTGCTGAAATGTTAGAAAAAGTTCTTAAATTAAGTTTCTGGTAATTGGTTGGAATGAAAAATATTCTTTCTAAGGAATTGATAATTAACGGCCTCGAGCTACAGACTACCCAATCAATTCCAGGTCTTGCCTGAAGGTTATTTGTATTTTTTATTAGCGTCGCCAAGCAATTCACATTGCAATATTAAACCTGTGCAACAGACATTAGCAGACTGAGTTACTGTCGGCCCAAAGTAGAATGGATACTGGAATATATGTCGAACTTAATTCTGGTGTCGTCAATCTTATTTGATTCAAATGTCGCGCTTATTATCAGCCAAATGCTTCGAATTAGGTTCCACACGTGATAAGTGCGATATAATTCAGCATTGCAGCAGATACCTAATCAGAAACTAGTAGGCCCTATTACATAAAATTACGTTATTGTAAGCCAAATGCCTGCGTATAGGTGGCACACTATGAACTGACTTATTATATATGAAGATGAAACTGACATATTATATATAAAAATGAACTGACATATTATATATGAAGTCAGTCTATTAACTGTGGTTTGCCTGCTTGCTATCATAGAATTTTCGGCAGGAAAATAAAATATTGTAAATAAATTTATTTGTTCACATAGTTGGCGCCAGTAACTTCACACCACGTCCACATATATGAATATTCCATTTAGAGCGCAGACAGGGGCGGATCCAGCTGACTGTAGCATAATCCTCAACTTTGGGCGCACAGAAAAACCTAGTTGAAATTTGAACCGCGGAAACGCCATTCCCTGCATTCTGAGCATCGGATCCTGTTCTAAAATTTGACCTTAATAAAGCCATATTTTAGACAAAAAGTTACAAAAATACGGAATAAAACAGAAATATGTTTAAGTAAAGAACGTACCAAGATCATACCAGATCTACAGTCTTAATTAATACTGTATACAAAGTTTAAAACGTGCCTTCCTCCATACATTAATATGTAATTTAATATCATACCGCACATGTGTGACATATAACACAATTACAATCAATGCATAAAATCAATGGGCAGTACGATATATAATATAACGCATACAGACACATTTATATACTGAAAGAAAGCTTCGGATTAGCAGAAATTCAACTAGCTTGTATTTTTCAGGTATGGTTTGCTTGTATATTTCAGTAATTCAGTTGAATCCCTCTCGATCCGAAGCTTTGTGTTCTTATTAATTTGATATTACATTTCTATACTGTTTATCTCCGCAAAAATCATTATTCAATGAATGAAACTACTTAATTCTAAACAAGGTACTGAATAATTACAAGCAGGACATAAAATATGCCAGACATAACATCCTGTCTATATAAAGTTACTCCAACCTTATAGGGTCAGGGTTGGGGTTAAACCTAGTGCTGGGCTGGGGTTAACCCTAGATTTAGTGTTAACCCTATAGTAAAACTAGACGCGAGGTTGACGCTGTGCATGATTAGCACAGAGACGGCCGAAAAGTAAAAGCTTGTGTTATATTTGTTCGTATAGCTGGAAAATGCCACGCTGTCAGTTTGTAAGAATGTGACATGTGTAAATAAATCTGCCGACCACAGGCTTGTAAATAGTCATCTCAAGCTAGACGGAGTTATACTTCGAAATGTTATTAAATTAAGCAGACTAAATTGAATGGAGTACAGTCGATAGAACAATAAAAATTTGCAAACATGTTTGATCCTGTCTGTGTCATCATTGTAAATCAGTCATTTCTTAAGAACGGCTACTGTTTAAGAAATAGAAAACATTTTCCGTGTTTCTATAGAGTTATAGAAACACGCGTGCTAGTTTGGGAGAACGAGAAATAATCAGTGGGAACACGAGCATGTAGTGCGAGTGTTTCCACGTTATTTCGAGTTCTCCCAAACTAGCACAAGTGTTTCTATAACTCTATAGAAACACAGGAAAAAAGTTTTCAATTTCCTTTATTAAATAAACTTGTGATATAATAACACAAAAACAATATTTTTAACGCGATTAAAAAGTATATTCTCATTACACAATAACAAGAAAAGACTGCAAAATTATGGAAAAAAAACATGCTGAAAAAGTTGATTTAAAGAAAATTTAAAGCGAAAAAACGTTTGGTAAGTGTTTTCCAATGCTTGTTTAACAAAATTTCAGGTTGACGAAGATTTTTAATCGATATTTCAGGCGAAAACGTTTGTTTTAGTCAGTTGTTTTGAGGTTCGTGGAAAATTCCCGTGTTCTACAGCGTTATAGAAACACGGGATTTTTCGCTTTTCAACCAATCAGCGCAGGCGTTGTTACAAGGTTATTTTATAAGCATGATTATTCCGTTTTAAGATCCTGTTTGAAAATTACCCCAAGTCTTGCCCGCCCGCTAGGCCCAGGCCAAGTATTCCAAAATAGTGAAAAAAGAACATTCCGATAAGACAGAATGGTTGACACGGAAGTAGATCCTTGTAAACATGTTGTTCACATTGCTGCGAATTCTTTCACACACGGTACCAGTCAATAGCCGGTAAGAAATGTTTTTATATAAAGAGCTTTCGAATCTTTAGAAATTATCCTCGCAGCATGGTTTCGTTTTTCAATATTGAATATTTTATAATTGTCTACTTGATTATTCATAAACTTGTGAGAATACAATGTGGTCTCAAATGATTAGTTTTTGGTGTAAACTATGAGCTGTTATTTGTATCAATCGCCAAATATTTCGTCTCGACGTGCCGCTGTAAACATCTTTAAGAAATTATAAGAAAACTGTTATGAACATACGTTTAAGATGAAGTAAAGAAAGCGCTTGTCCATTGGTTACTTCTGTTGTGACTGATCAGGATTGAGTCAATTAATTTTGGATAAACTGTTCAACTTGTTTGAATTGACTCGACGTGCTTACGGTAAATGCACTTTGGACACCTTTAGCCTTTACCAAATACGGTGAAATTGAAGTAAGTAAAACTTATAGTAACTTTCGCGGTCATTTCTACTGTAAATCTGGATTCAATTGAGTGGTTATTGAATATTGTATAAACTCTTTGGCCGGCTTTGTTTATTTGATTTGGTGAATAATTCGTCTCGACGGCCTGCAGTTCATTGAAATCTTTAACCATTTATAAGGGATACCTTCACCAGTTATATTGGAATTAAAATCACTAGAAGAAGTACTTGGCAAGTAAGTACTACCATTAAAATTCTAGTCTGCGATTACTGTTCAATTTATGTGCATAAAGTAGTGTGCAAATTAATTTGTTTGGTAGCCAAATATTCGTCTCGGTGTGCTTATATGAATATCTACTGTATATGAAAATACGCCGAGTGTGAAACAGAGGAACTGGTTGCAAGTTATAACTTCTATAGTAAATCTGAATACGGCTGATTAACTTCTTCATAAACCGTGAAATTTGTTTCAATTGTAATATATTTTGTCTCGACAAACTTTTCAACAAGGAACCCCTGCCGAAGAATTGTAGGAATCCATCGTTATACTCAAACACAGTTATTGTGAACAAATAAGAACTCGGTTTAATAAGTGGATATTCCGATGACGATATTACTATTCAGATGCTTTTCTTTGCAGTGATAAAACCGCCTAAACCTGTCAATATTATCAACAAAGATCTTTAAGGAAGTAAAAGTGTTTCGGATCAAGTGATAGTTTACGGAAGCTACAGCTGCTTGATAAATTATGACATCTGCAACTGAAGACGAATTATTAGATGCTCTAATTTGGAGTGACGATTCCTACTCTTTGACCGAATTCATAACCGAATTCCCGTTACCACAAGTCGTGAGAGTTGTGCGAGGACACGACGGCGGTACAGATAGCTCAACATTAGGCTATGGAGAGGTGCTAACTATACATGCAGTGCGGGAAACACGAGTCCTTTCTGCAGAAGACAGAAATGGTAACGCGATTTCGGTCGGATTAGACTTTCCTGATGAAGTTCAAATACTTCCTCAAACAAAAGACTGTCGTCTCAATTCATGCGAAGTTACTGATTTCGCATCGTTCTACCAGACTGTCAAGTACGTGGAAGTCATTCAAGCACATTACGGAACAGGAGACAATGTTGATTCAACTTCTGTTGGTGAAATACTAGAAATAGTGGATATTAGTAAGCCGCACAAACCTGGGAAGACCAAAGTACAAGTGCGTAATTCGGAAAATAATCAGAAATCTACCCTAACATCCACATGCAGTGCAAGGTTTAGGCCTCTTCTTGATTGGAAGAAGTACAAGGCGCCCGAGTTGAAGACTCACCAGTTTGGATTTCCGGTACGAGTTCGATTCATGGATACCGAGGTTGGCAAAGATACGGATTATCAAAGGTAAGATACATACGCGTATTAAGTGATATATAGATATGGTTTCACTAATAACTATGTTCATTAATGATGTTTGTGGTGTTACTCTGAGTGTGCATCCACACCGGGCGAGCTGAACAGTTTGCCTGACCACGGTGGGAATCGAACCCACAACCTTTGGGATACTAGTCCAATGGTCTACCAACTGAGCTACGAGGTCAAGTCGGTTCGAGTTGGTGATATTTATAGTTCCTTCGATATGTACACCAACACACAGAGAAAGTATCATATGTTCATAAATGTTTGTATTATACAGCTATTTCAATTATGCCTGGTTTCCATGCATATGGTCGTAACGGTCGTAAAGATTGCCGTCATGATCTTTCTCGTCAGCCGAAATACAACATTTTAGAACTGAAAATACGTGGAGTGATTACTAGAGAATACTTAATATGATTTATATGTGGTTTATATACATGTATAAACTATTATAAACTGGCCGTTCAGAAAGATCGTGACTGATGACTCTATTTTTACGACCAAATGGAAACCAGGCTTTAAGCTTGTCAGCGACAATAGTCAAATGTACAATATGTTTAACACATCAGCATAGCCTTGCGGGATTACAAATGTAGTAATTAGTGTCACATTTGCATCCCCCCTTTACACGAGCCTGAGCTGATTTTCAACCCGGGTCAGTACGCTACTTTACATGAACCCGGGTTGACGACAATTTTTGCCAACCCAGGCAGCAATTCTCAACCCGGGCTGGCTCGGGTATAATATTCCGAGCAACAGACTGGAGCAGAGTGTATTTTTGGAGCTCATATCCCTTATACGATAAAATCCATTTTAGTTTTGGATACTTATATATTTTATACGATTATATCCCTTTTTAGCGGGGATTTAGCCGTAGCAACTTCTGCATTAAAGGCGTTTTCTTCCTTTTTGATAGCGAGGCTATCTTGCACTGGCAGATCTACTGGATCAAAATATTCGGCATCGAACGCCAACGCCATATATACCTTCGCGCAACTTTGAATACATTGCGACAACATTGGAGTTGAAATCTACATTTTTATAATCCATCTTCGTCTTATAATCCTTCAGAGAAACGATTAGGTGATCAATCATTTCAGATGACTACTGAAACGCAGGTTGAGCATTTTTTTTCTTTTGGTATTGGACTGTTTTTACTTGACATACTGTATGATTTTATATGTCTGTACCAAACAAAGAGACGGAGAAAATACGCGCGCAAAATGTTGAAATCTGATATGACGCTAGGTGCAAAGTTCACAATCATGAATTTACCGCACGAAGTTCACAATCATGAATTTACACCCAACCCGGCTTTACATGAAGAAATGAGTAAACTTTTCACGCCTTCACACCTCGCCAATTCAGGTCGACCCGGGTCTCGAGAAAGGTTGGCCGGGGTTGGCGAGGTGTGAAAGGTTGATCCGGCTATCGTGTAAACGCTGATAGAGATTTATTCGTAGAAGGGTTGACCCGGGCTTTTGAGCCAACCCGGGTTGGTAGTCAACTTGGGCTAGGCGTGTAAAGGGGGGCTAAATACTATATTTAGCAGAATATACGCTCAAGTGGTGTACTTAAACACTTAAGCATATTGATGCGTAACTGAACCTTAAAAGAACTAACTTTGCTTGTGTTGGATAGCGTTATCGGTTGTAACGATGATTAATTAAGGATTGCAACACTCTTGGAGTGCATTATCGAGATTTACAAGCACGAGTTCACGAACAAGAAACAAGAAATTTAACACTGCACGAGGCGCAGCCGAGTGCAGTGTTAAATTTCGAGTTTCTTGTTCGTGAACGAGTGCTTGTAAATTTCGATAATGCACGAACAAAGAGTGCTTTAAACGTTTTAATATTCAGTTTGAGTAAACTATAAAATAACAAGCATTTCATATTGTCACCTTTAACCGTGTAAACTACACAAAAAACAACAAAAACTCACCTTTAAATAGCGAAACACCCCATGCCGTTGCTCTTTTTGTGTTTGTTGGCGTTGCCTCCGAAATTATCGCTTCTATTTCCTCAGAGGACAATTCCAAAAACTTTTCACACTCAGCAGTCATCTTGCAGTGCGATAAAAAGTTCATGCACGGCTATAATGCACGGCCGTGCATTGTTGTTATGTAAAAGTAAGTCACGTGGTACAAATCCACCAATCAGAACACTAGTTTACCAAAACTGAATAATAATAATTATTAGCTGTACGTGACCGGTGCTTGAACTGGTACAAACTTAATTAAGACTCAAGCTGTACTTAGTTTTAAGATAAATTACATAAAGGACACTTAATCTCTGGTACGCAAGTTCTCGAATTATCACACCACGCCTAAAGTGTTCTTCCTAGGGATCCCGTCAACCTCGCAAGGGCCCTTGCTTGCGAGGTTGGGATCCCGTAAGGATCATATATTCTTACTGGTCAGTGTTATTGCGGTAAAAAAGGGAGTGCTGTTCTCTTGCACCTACTTGCACCTACCTGCACGATTTTACAGCATGATTTCCGATGGTCGTGAAGTGGTTCTGTACCGGTAATTTTGCTGATGCGAATGTGATTTGGGAAATCAATGGGTCGTCTGACCATGGCATATTTCAACATATATTCTGGTGGGCTATTTGGCCCCGCAAGCCCCACTACACACGTAAAAACGCACAAGTTGTACCAAACCTGCAGCAGACTTGTAGCAATGCTGTTCCAACAACTTGTCAACAGGATGTGTTCGCACTGCTTGTTCCCAGCTTGTTGACAAGTTGTCAACGGCTTGTTGACAACTTGCTACAAGGTTGTTGAGTTCAACAGACTTGTTACAAGTTGTTCCAACAACTTGTTATCGTCCTGCAATTCAACAACTTGTCAACAAGTTGTGAGTGACAAGCTTGTAGCAACTTGATAAATAACAGCGTTGTTACAACTTGTTGGCAAGGTTGCTACAAGCCTGTTGCGAACACATCTTGTTGACAAGTTGTGAGATTTTTACGTGTGTAGTTAGTCGCTTAGACTGGTCCTTACCTTACGTGACCAAAATTTAAAGCCTCGTACAGACGAGCTAGTTTTCCTTGACAAGTTTTGTTGCTCGTGTGAACGGAATGTTGTTAAACATTTGTCTCCATAGAAGTATTTCTTGTATACTTGTAAACTTTTCCTTGGTGGCCGTCGACACGAACAAATTTTCCTTGTCCAAAATCTGGAACGACTAGCTTTGGAACAAGGTTCCTTGGCAAGGAAATATTCCCCGTCTGTACGGGGCTAAACTCTGGGGGGAACCCACACTGGGCTCTAATCTTGGTTTTGCCCCCCCCCCCCCCACACTGTAAAATAAGCACTGCGAGTGAATAAGATTTAGACAATATCCTTGGACTAATCACCTCTGCTTCTGAAAAATAGTCAATTATATAGTGGTGGGGGATGGGGGGGGGGAGGCATTTTCTTGAAACACCCTAAATACATGTAAATCTAACAAGATGCATAATTTTTACAGGTTGATATCTAAGAGCCCTGATATCAATATTATAAATGAAATAGTTGATATTATCGTGATCACCACCACTGTAAGCAGCGATCCTGTCCTCAAATTCTGTTTTGAAATACCAAAAGATCTAGAAATAAAAGTTGCCGTGGCTGAAGGCTTCTCAAATGGTGCTAAACATTACACCGACATAGTAACCAGTCTCAATGAACGCTTTGATGTGACAAAATTCATGAGTAGCCATCAACCAGCACCGATCAAACGCCGTGATGTAGTCAAACAATATGATTACGATACAATCAAGGAGTATATCATCGATAATGCGATATTATCTCCAAAGTCCGATGAAGTTGAACCAGACATCGATGCCCCACCGCTGCCTCCAAGAACACCAAAAGCAGTAAAGAAAAGTCAAAGTTTTGATATACCGCCAACCCCCCCTCTCAAAGTGCCCGATAAAAATGTCGCAGAAAGAAAGAATTCGGCACCAACTGTTGAAACAACCCCTCTGATCAAACCGAAACCTGCAGTTCCCTCTCGACCAAGGTCTATCTCGCAAAGAGAAGGTGTAGGTGTAGAATGGATACCATCGGGTAATAATTATACCCATGCCTTGTCCACAAGTGTACTTCAAAGTACTAACGAGAACCCTTGTGATCCATCGCCACCTGAAGTGAAGGTCAAGCCACCCATAAATATCCCAACACCATCCCCAAATGTCCCACAAAGTACCAACAATCACCCCAATGATCCATCGCAAGCTGAAAGAAAGGTTAGCAAGCCACCATTAAAGATACCCCGAAATATCCCCGTGCCGTCCACAAATGTACCACAGACAACCAGCAATCACCCTAATGATCTACTACAGGCTGAACTGAAAGACATTGTGGCGAGGAAACGACCAATGAAGGTGCCTGTACCACCGCCCCGCCCTCGGCTACAGGATAAGACATCCAAACATCCCCAGGCCAACAATGTGAATGAAGTCTCCGAAGAAACCAATCTAAGTAACAAAGAGAAGGAAATTTCGGAATCTGAGATTATCCAGACGGCAGAAGAAGTACCAGGTGTGACAGATTGTACCCCAGTCACACAAACAACCATCAATCACCCTGCATCGGCCATTTTGCAATTACCGCCCCGCCCTCCGGCACGGGATAAGACATCCAAACATCCCCAAGCCAACAATGTGAATGAAATCTCGACGGAAACCAATCCAATTTTCAAACAGAAGGAATCATCCCAACCTACGAATATCCAGTCAGCAGCAAAAGTACCTGGCGGGACAGACGGCACCACAGTCACACAAACAACCATCGATCACCCTGCATCTCCCATCTCCCAAATGGATGAAAACGAGAATGCACAAAGACCACCACGAGTCGTGTCCCCGAAATTACCACCTCGTGATCGGCGACCAAAACTGAAAGATTCTGCCAGCAATTTTCAAGGTGGGTAGCTTATAAACATTGAGCTCCATATATATCTGGAGTGAGAACTCGAGTCCAAAAAGTGAAGCCAGCTTCGTGTTAACCGCGCAGACAAAAGCAATAGAAAGGGACTGGAACTGACGTGCAATAGCTCTCAATTTTCGCCATCTTGGCAAGGAGTGTGCCGAAATTTCGTATTTTGACTTCGATTTAAGGTGGCTCCCTACAGTTCTCTAAAATTCTAGGTATTTTGAATAACGTTCGCTTTGAACCGAATTTATATTAGATACACTTAAGACAAGGCAATATGATCATTTCCAGGAAAGTTCAGAAGCTGTGTGCTGTCCATTTATGAACAAATTAAAACAGTGTTCGTGTTGCCATGGCAACCATGATGTTTAATCTTTTGCACTTTTATTGTCTAATTTCACAATAAATTGACAATATCTATATTTTCCTTCGGTGAATTTTTCTGAATTTTTTTTTGAAGATTTATGGCCCATAAAGGAAAAACATATCAAAATTTGAAAGGAATTTACAAATAAGTTTTCGAGATATTCGTGAATGACGGTTACAGAAAAAGTTATTTGTAGAATTTCTTAAAATTTGGATATGTTGTACCACTCGTCTTGTATAACAAAAAGACAAAGTTTAAAAAAATTTCACCGAAGAAAACACGAGAAAATCATCGCTAAATTCGGCGTGGCCAGCATGAAAAAAAATCGACTCGACATGAGCACGATCTGCGCATGCGTGTAAATTGTAGCGTGTGATTTATAGTGATTTCAACTTTTTGGCTTACAATACATACGAAAACAGATATTTCTGACTTGTTTGCCATGAAAATAAAATATTAATCTTGAAAATACTAATAAAAAAACACTATTATACGCATTGTATTAAATCCAGTGTTAGTTTACATTTGTTTTTGTTGTTAAAATCGGTGTGAAAACTTTTCAAAACATCGAACTACAAGTTTAACTTTTCATATAAAACAACTCATAACTGTTTTATTTGATTTAGCAGATAAAACGATACCTGTGAATTGAATTGATTGACAGAACTTACATAAGTTTCGGCGACAGTTCACTACTGTTCAAGAGTATTGAAGACAGTATCATTTCAGTTTGACAGTTCGCAACACAACAAGTTGAAAATTTTGAGCAATATGAAAGACAATACTGAACGTAAATACGTAAAAACACACTAAAAGATTGGCTAAACTAGTTAATAACATACGTACTGTTCGAATTCACAAAAAAATTAGGATTATAATGAAAAACTGGAGCTTTCTTTGTTGATAAAAACGCCAAAAAACTTCCCGCGGCTTCAGTGCTTCCATTTTCAAAATAAAAATTTCCCATTTTTGACATCAGAATTTCTCTAAATTCCTTAGATTGTATACATAATTTCCTTGAAATTCCCTTGAAATTTCATTAAGCAGTTTGCAGTAATTTTGTACCAATACAAAGGATATAGTTAATTTTAAAGGCACAAAATAGCACAATTATACTGTTTAAAATTAACACGAACATACAGGGACGCCGGAAAGTCGATAATTGGGGGAGGGGGCAGATATTCATATATTCGTGTTCACAGACTGTAAAAACAATCGCTTTCAAAGGAAATAAATGATGCCGAACATGAGTATATGAATATCTGCCCCCCCCCCCGAAATTATCGACTTTCCGGCGTCCCTACGTACATATACGATTCCAATTCCACTGATTTAATTAAGTATTCGCAGTGTTTGGCGCCAAAAGGTACTAAATCCCATCGCTCAAAAACTTTCAGAAGTTTTCGGAAACACGAAGAAAAACTTATAAACAGATTTTTAATTAACATAATTGATAAATAATGATAATTCACTCAAAAATGTAAAAAATAGTGAAACCTTCTTCTGCACCAATGCACTGAAATGAATATTTAAGTTTTTCGGAAAAAATCCTTAGATTTCCTTAGATTTTTTCTCTTCCTTAGATTTTCCTTTTGGACCATAGAATTTCCTTAGAAAAGGAAATTTCCTTGAAAATGGAAGCACTGCGCGGCTTGTTTCAATATTATTTTTGCCGAACAGTAAACACGACGATTCCACGCGCAGGTCGCGAGGATGAAGTCTGATCTATATAAATCGTATTTAAACTGTACTAACTGTAGGGAGCCACCTTAAGAACTAATATTATGATTTTATAAACTGAAAACGTGTTTAGTGATACGGTCCGTTAGAAAAAAACTGCATTTAGATGGAAAAATGGTATATACGACCTTCAGAGCTATTGGACGTCAATGGCCGCCATCTTGGCTTCACTTTCTTTTCTCATAGGCCGAATGACTGAAGTTCTTGCTCCAGATATATATAGAGCTCACTGCTTATATATTATATAACTTGCTAGATATGATTTAGTGTGATTATTTATACCTCAGCCAGGAGATTGTGTTTTCTGTGTTTTCATCCGCGTATGTCTTCTTTGAGCACGACAAACTTAAAAAAATCAACCGTATAGAGCGTTTGCACATGACATCACAGCCGCCATGTTGGTGTTCCAATTCAAAAGAATTTTAGTTAGACTCTTTTGTCTGGAATACCAACATGGCTGTCTTGGCTTTTGTTGAGTTGGTCCCTGGGGAATGAGTGCAAACGCTCTATTAATACGAAAATTTGCTGGACTAATAGCCCTTGGCCAAGGACAAATTGATTAAGTAGACCTTATGCATAATGACGTCACAAGGCTTGATGCCCGCGAGGAATGCTCCTCTTAGTAGTCATCGCCCGGGAAAATTTCGATAGTGGCCATTTTGAATTGTTTAATTTTCCCGGGCGATGACCACTAAGACCAACATTCCTCGCAGGCATGAAGCCTTGTAACGTCATTATGCATAAGGTTGGTTAGCGACGTTAACTTTAGATGAAAATTGGATGAGAAATTAACAAACGTTTGTCTTGCGGGCAGAGTAAGCCTGATGCGGAATTAACCCATTGTATTGTTTATTTGCATGATACTTAATTCGCTGGCGGAGGCATGCAGTCTCCCAGTGCCCTGTATTTTTTATATTTGTTTAATATTGTTGGCATACATAATTGTAGTGAGTAGAATAGAAGTTTCATATTCATTGGATTATACATATTTAAAGACCTAACTGTGTGAGTATTTTCGTAAAATGCAACTATACATGCAGGAGGGTGTCCTGAAAAATGCATTAGCTATGTTTCAGATTTTTACAAAGCTAATTATTGGTGGGCATCAAAAGGTTAATGTAGGGGATGAGTGGCATTTAGAGTATTAACTTTGAATATTATAATTATAAAATTATACAATTATAAAATTATAAAATTTGTCTAGGATCGAGAACAAATGTTATGGCTGTTTTAAAATAAAGTCTGGTTCACCCAACGGACCATTTGAAATCATGCATCAGTTGTCTAAAGTATCGATATGTCTAACCTCTTATTTGAAACAGCCATAGCATTGGTTCTACTAGACAATTTTTATAATCTTAGTGTCAAAATTTATCACTTAGACCAAATTTTTGATGCCCGCTAATATTTAGCTGTGAAAAAAATCTGGAACATAGCTATTGCATTTTTGGGAGGACACCCTGTATTTATGCCTTACGAACCTTCGATTCCTGTGCAGCACTCAGACCATTCAGCTACAGAGTCCGGTTGCCAAGCTTATATACAGCTATTTCAATTAAGGTTGTTCACGAGCAAAGCGGAAAAGTCGAATACGAGCGCGAAAGACTGCTGGGAATCGCTAACAAATTAATGAATTTTCAAAGCGATTCCCAGCAGTTTTTCGCGCTCGTATTCGACTTTTCCGCTTTGCTCGTGGACAACCTTAATTGAAATAGCTGTATACTAGGGCAGTGTATGTTAATTAGGAATAGATTATTCCAATGATTTTGGGCACATCGCTCAAAGCTCGTTGTAAGATTAGCTTTGCTAAGAACAGACATGGTTCTGTTATTTTGAAAAGAGTGTATTGTTATAATTACTATAAATATGATTTTTTCAAGGTGACATTATAGATGAAATACCTCGCGCAAGTGGTCAACGTGAGATTGAAAGTCAGCAAATGGTAAAAGATGAGAAAACGGACACACAGCATGTGCCTAAACTTCCCCCAAAGTCCCCTGGAAGAAAAAGAAGAGATCTCCGTGAATCTCACTATGTTCAACCAGTGGCCCTAAATATTCCTGGCTATCTACCACAATCGGTTGTTTCCCGTACCCTACCACATACTCCCCCTCCCAGTCGAAACCCTCCTATTGACAGGTTTCAACGTCCTGGCACATTACCAAAGAATTATAAAATCGGAGGGAATCAACCGTACAGAGAACAAGTTGAGGAAAACGAGGAAATATACGAAACGCCTTATGATCCCCCCATAATGACGGTGGCACCACAGATGAACCCTAGGAGACCCCAGTCCATTCTTAACGAAAATCCGTATGAATTGGTTGCTAAGGTCCCGTTAGATTTGTCCGGTCTCAGCATCAATGAGGTCTCGGATATATTAAAGAATCTTAATATGGGCCAGTATGCGGAAAGATTCGAGGACGAAATGGTCGATGGAGATTTATTAAAGGAATTGAAGGAATCTGATTTGGAATCGTTCCGGATGGAATCTATTCATCGCACAAAGCTACTGAAATTCGTTCAAGGATGGCGTCCTCAGCATATTACAAAGAAGCATGCTTGATTTATTAGTAATTATATTCCGTGCTTATACAGAAAATGTAGCTGCTAAAACGTAGCATGGCAATTATTAATTTGGATAGCCAGAAATATATAAATAGACTGATACAGCATTATTATAAGTAATAGCATAAAAAGAAGCGAATTAGCTATTAAAACGTCCCGCCCGATGAGAGTCGTTTAGTATAATTCCCTTGGGCGCCGCTCGATGAGGGTCATTTAGTAAAATTTTACTAAATGACCCGAATCGAGCGGCGCCCAAGGGAATTTTACTAAACGACCCTCATCGGGCGGGACGTTTCAATAGCTAATTCGCTTCTTTTTATGCTATTACCTTATAATATCATGATTGCGGGTATTCCCGTTGTTCTGATTATTAAAAACCAATTAAAAATAAATAATGGTATAAATTAAATGGTATAATTGTTTTCCCTGTCTTTGTTTAGTTTTGGCGATTTCAGATATCTTCGTTTATATTCATTTTTTCTAATCGTACCCGCTTTGACGTCGTTTCGGGTAGGATTAGAACTAATTCTACCTGACATGACGTAAAAGCGGGTAGGATTAGAAAATATGAATATAATGAGGTGTATTAGTTATTAATTGCCCTGCGAGAACAAAGGGAATACCTGCAATCATGATATTATAGTAAATAATACACAATTAATATCTGCACCCCTGTTGAAACCGCACGTTTTAGCAGGTTCTTTTATTGTTAAACCATTTGTATCAAAGAGTTTTATTCATATGAAATATACATGTTTTGTGAATGTTGTTTATCTTTGCTTCTTCGCTATATAACAAAACATTTAATGTCTGCTCCCGAGGGAAATAGTTTGTTTTGTTTTCACTCGAATTCGTCTCGGGAAAAATTGAAACTCTCGGAAAACAAAACTGTTTCCCTTCATTGCCTGTTGTATATTTTTCTTTTGTGTTAGATACTGTATTCTTTGGCTCCATTTTCAACATTTATGTACGTAGCCGGTCCGAACGAGAAACACTTGTTGCCCCGGGGGTACGAAAATAACTGCTGAAACGAAGAATGACATAAATCAATTTTAACACTCGGAAAAGATAGAACCATGATGTATAGTAATATAGCTTTATAGTTTATAATATACCTTGTTAATGAGTCGTTTCGTTGCAAGTAAAGTATACTGTGATAACTGATATCTTAAAGACGTGGGTCCTGTAGTATTCTACAATACGCTACTATTTGTATAATGCTTTCATTATAGCAGCACTGTAGTGCCACGTGGTCACGATCCTGTGATCTGGATGTTCCATGGTCTATTCATTGTAAAAGAATAGACAATGGGGCATTTGTATATTTGGATACAAGGCATACAACACCTCATTAAACGTTGATTTCTTTTGAATTTAATGATTTCACAAGATAACCCACAACGTGATCTAACCATGTTAAGGTGGCTCCCTACAGTTTTCTAAAATTTTAAGTATTTTAGGTAGCCTTCGTTTTGAACCAAATTTATATTGAAAACACTTTTAAGTGTTTAAAAGACAGGGCAATATAATCATTTCCAGGAAAGTTCAGAAGTCTTCTGCTGTCGATATATGAACAAATAGGAACAGTGTTAGTGTTGCCATGGCAACCATGACGTTTCATCTTTTGCACTTTTATTGTCTAATTTTACAATCAAACGGCAATATCTTTTTTTTCCTTCGGTCAATTTTTCTGAATTTTTTTTTTAAGATTTATGGTTGAAAGCGGAATGACATATTAAAATTTGAAGAGATATTTATAAGACCGGTTTTGAGATATTCATGAATAACGACTACAAAAAATCTGTCTTATAGAATTTCTTGAAATTTTGATATGTTTGGCGAATCGTCATGCTTAGCAAACGTGCAAAGTTTAAAAAATTTTCACCGAAGGAAACGCGTGAAAAATAGTCCTAAATCCAGTTGAAGCTGTTGACGTGACAAAATATCGATTCGACATGATCACTATTTGCGTGAGGAGTAGCACGAAACGCGTACGGTTTATAGTTGACTTTTTTAGCAATTTTCTCTTTGAGTTTTTGGCTTATATGTTTCACACAGATATTTTTTACTTATTTGAAATGAAAATAAAAGATATATGTATTCAAAATACGAAACATTAAGAACACAATAACGCACTGACTTAATCCAACGTTTCTTAAATTTAGTTTTGTTGTGAAAATCGGTGTCAAAACTTTTCAAAACATTCAAGTAGAGTTTGACTTTTCGTATAAAACAACTCGTAACTGTCTGCATTATAGTTTTATTGGATTCAGCAGATAAAAAACTACATGTGAACGAGTTGAATGACAGGGTTTACGAAGTTTCAGTGACAATTCAGGAGTGCCTTCAAGACAGTATAAAATATAATTTCAGTCCGTGACACTGTTCTTGAACATTGTGAGCATTATGAAATACAGTACAGAACTTATTAAATATATTAAAAAAAAAACACTGAATGTAGGTAAAAACTAGCTAACAACATACGTACTGTTCGAATGTTGAAAGGTTTAGGGTAAAAACTAGCTAACAACATACGTACTGTTCGAATGTTGAAAGGTTTAGGATTATAATAAAAAACTGGCGTTTTCTTTGTAAATAAAAACTCAAAAACAACTTCCCGCGGCTTGTTTAGTTGTTTCAAGATTTTTAACGGACCACGAAGATTCCACGCGCGAGTCGCGAGGATGACGTCTGAGCTATATAAATATTTTAAACTGGACTATAACTGTAGGGAGCCACCTTAACTCAACAACGATTATGTACAACATCAGATCACTTTAAGGTAGACCACATCCAAGAATATGTACTATGTCTACATGATCTAACCATGCTTAACTCGGCAGTGAACTCTGTACAACATCAGATCACTTTAAAGTAAACTACGGTACATTCAGAACATGTACTACCTCTACATGATCTAGCCACGTTTAGCTCAGCAGTGAGTTCTGTACAACATTAGATCACTTTAAGGTAGCTCACATTCAAGAACATGTACTACCTCCACATGATCTAACCATGCTTAACTCAGCAGTGAGTTCTGTACAACATCACATTACGTTATGGTAGACCACATTCAAGAAAACTGTACTACCTCAACATTATCTAACATTTACATGATCTAAATAAATATTCCACTCTTTAAATCCCATGGTGAAGTGAGACAAAGATGCAATCTTTACTTTCTACCATTTCGTTTCTACTGGAAATAGTGCTTCAATTCCCCATTGAACTGCCACCAATACAATGAGTGCTGTATCATGTCAGGGCGCAGTAAAACACAGGCGCTGAAACCCACAGATGAATGAGCGTGCTAGGCGTGATGATGCATCATATGACTGGCACGAGCGCGCTCTCGTTAAAAAACAAAAAAGATAAAAAATAAGAAAACAAAATATTTAAATGATACGTAATTATGCATTGTCAGTAAAAGTTTAAAATGCACTTCAACTATAGTCTATTGCATGTAGTGGTTTGTGTTTCTTTTTGTTGAACTCTGGTCAAGATAAAATAATAGCGTAAAAACGTTTCTGTTGAGTACAGCAAACTGTGGACATTTAACCAAGCTTTATGTTTCCCATTAAATTAAACGGTACCGGTACGTTCTAGCGACTAGTTCACGGGACAGTGGGGGGGGGGGGGGCTTAACACGGCCCCCACTCACACCCTCTACGTCTCTGCTCCGTCTCACTATCGTTCTTCAATTAACCTCTATTTCTCCCGGCCTTTTCCTGGACGCCATCCACCAATAAACTTTAACAACTTTTTCGCATGAAACAAATTAACATTTATAGCTTTAAAGCTGTCTAAATCAAGATCTTTAAGGATCGCACCATCTATCATCTCGTTCGCGAATAGTTCAACGTAATCGTGCATATTTAAGCATTGTAGAACATTGCCAACATCCTCTACGGACAAAAGCGATAAATCCTGTGGAATTTCTGAAATTCTTGTGTACGGATTTTGGTTTTCATCACCAAGCATACGATGGAATTTCTCAGTTAACACTCGTGTTTATTCTTGGGTTCGGGAAGTTTCGTTCCACGATTTTGTTGAAACTGATAAAAAAACAGAAAATAGTTTATGAACTTCAAATAATGTAATTGCTATATCTAACTCAGAGAGTGAAATATTCAAGTGTTACTTATTTGGGTTTTTGAAGTAATATTCGACATTTTCTTTATCAGTGTTTGGAAATCAATGTAGACGTCCGCATTTTCTAGAACATGGAAAAGCTGGACTTTCAATTTAGATCTTTTTGTTCAGATTTTTTTTAAGATTTCAGGAATTCCATCGCAAAGTTTTGATCCGATGATACTAAAAGATTCATTTTTTTACTTAAGCCTTGCATATTTATGATAAAATTTGCCAGAGGCTAAGGATCTTGTATTGTATTGTATTGTGTGAATGAATTGTATTTACCAGAGTAAAATCATAGATATCTTATATACACTAGATAGTGCATCTAATTTTTCTACAATTCAAAAATTGAAGCCGTGATTGCAGGCTCAGGATATTCCCATGAAATGAGAAGACTCGTATGTTTTCTATTTCTTAAACAGGGAACTTAAACATTAAGTTAAACCTATTCCAAATACATTTTCAAACTATTCAAATGATGAAAGTTATTATTGTTTTTTAAGCGTTTAGTTAGCGAGTGGGAAACTCCAACATGGCCGCCATCTATTCAAATGGGGGTAACCGCTGGAATATTCTTGGCTTCAATTTTACTAAAAGAGATGCGCTATCTAGTGTATATAAGATATCTATGAGTAAAATACTCAGAGATATTAATAGGTGGTGCCGTTTGATTTGTGATGTCATACATTAGTGATAATAATGCATCGTAGTAAAGAATATTGACTGGTAATATTTTTAAAGCAATGAAAAGTGGTATTGCATGTTGTCTATAATATATGCAAAATGGATTGGCCTAATAACACGCTTTGTAATAAAAGGATTTTATTTAGGTTTGTTTTCGACGTTTGACCCCACACAGCAAGACCCTAAGTAATAAAAGGTTGAACTAAAGAACGATAAATGTTGAGCAAAGTCTGATATGGAACAAATGTTTGAGTCTTGAGATGATTCCGACGGTTTTACTTATTTTCAAAGTAATGTAGTCAACATGGTTGCTCCATATCAAATGACTGTCTATCAATATTCCTAAATATTTAACATATTTTTTATGTTCGAGAGATACAAACTACTGTGAGTTGTGATCAAAGATTTTAAAGTTATAGGTATAAAGTTAAACGTTTTCTGATAAGTATGAAAAAATAAGGCTTAGTTTATTTGAAATTAGCCAGTCATTTACTTTTATTAATTCCTCATTAACTATGGTTTCAAGGGATTTTAGATTTTTGTTAGCGTAGGTTATAAAAGATTTGTGTCGTCTGCAAAAAGAAAAAACTTTAAATTTGTTTAAGAATATGCTATATCGTTGATATATAATAAGAATAATAGTGGGAATAATATAGAGCCCTGAGGTACACCACATAAAGTCTGTTCTTTGTGTGATATATTTGATTCAATTTGTGTAGTCTGAGATCTACCTATTAGGTATGAAGAAAGCTATTTGTTAATAATACCTCTAAGACTTCGTGATTCACAGTGTCAAAATCTTTTTGTAAGTCTATAAATATTCCACACGAGTATAAGCCTCGATCCATCAGTATTTGATTGAATTGTGTTGACAATGTCTAGCAATGCATGCTCAGCGGAGTGATTCTTACGAAAACATATTGAGAGGAATAAATAACTTTTACATTATTCCTCTCAATAAATGTTATTAACCTGTTGTACATTAAACGTTCAAAAATTTTACTAATATTGGAAAGCAAAGATATAGGCCTATCATTAGTCGGGTCGTCCTTATTTCCTAGTTTGAAGATTGGAATAATTTTTTGCATATTTTAATCTAGTGGGAAATATCCCAGTTTCTATAGATAACTGATTCATGCGTTTTGCTAATGGTTCTGAGAGAATATGTTTGGCATCTTTAGTATTCTCTGAGGGAATGAATATATGGACCTTGCTTTCTTGCAAGGGATTAAATCGATTTGGCACTCTTACTTGAGAGGGAGAGATACGCCCGTATTCTAAAAGCTCACTCACACTCAATGAGTGGATGTTCAATCTGAGCTTTTCTTAGGTGCCAGTGCAGTTTTTGAATAGCTGGAGGGCTAGTATCGTACCTTAATATGTGACTACTCACCCTCCAGCTATTCTAAAACAGCACTGGCACCTAAGAGAAGCTCAAATTGAACCTCCACTCATTGAGTGTGCAGAGAGTGAGTGAGCTTTTAGAATACGGGCGATAGGGTTGAAATAAAACGAGTTGAAGTGTTTAGACGCAGATAAGTAGTCTCGAAAATCTTTACAAGATTGAGGAAGTGTTGAGCTCAATTTTTTCCCAATTGAAGCAAAATGTTTATTAAGTATGCTCTATTGGATTACTTGATATATACCATTATTCAGTCTTTTAATTGATTTGATTGTGCATTTACCCTTACGTTTATTGTTAATTAAATTATTTATTCCTTCCCATGTTTTCTTTATATCATTTGAATTAGCAGTAAAGTATTCATGATAATGAAGCTTTTTACTTATACGTGTCAATTTCGAAATTTTGTTTCTGCAATACTCTGTGTATCACTGGAAAAATAGAGGGGGCTTTTATTTTTATAGATATACGAATGCCCTTAGTTATCCATGGTTTTGATAATAATTTTAGTTTACGATTTGATAACTTTTTGAGCGGCGCATACTTCTTGATAAGTTTGTTAATTTTATTGTAAATTGTAGAGAAATGTTTGTTTACATTATTAGCTTCATTTGTATATGAATAGTTACGGAGAGTGAGTAACAAGTCGTTGATGAATGCAGTTTGTGAATATTGAGAAAAATCTCGTGTTTTGTTTTAGTTTTTTAAACTCTTGACAAACGGAAGTTACTGTACAAAATTGGGAAAAGTAGTCACTTAAGTCAGACACAATATTACCACTAATGATTGAATTGCTCATTTCATATGACAACCATGACAACTACAAAGGTATACTACTACATTTCCTCTTAGACCGACCCAAATATTACACATACCAAAAATCATGATTTATACCGTACTCTTTTTGTGAGCGGAGTACACACGGCCAAACATACATTGAATGTACTAGGTTGATCTAACAAATTATATCTTACCTGAGTAACTGCATAAGGCTGAGTTTCAAATTTCGTTTCTGATGTTTTTTCAAATTTCACATTTGATGCCGTTTGCGGAATTGTATCTTCGTGCGATTTACAATTCTCAGATCTTTCAAACTTCCTTGAATCTGAATCCCATTCGAATTTTGGATCCATATCTTCATAAACATATTTATCCATTTCCCACTCGACATTTTCATAACTATCTGAAGATTTATTTTTTGCATCGGTTCGTTTGTGCGCTTCGAATTTCTTGATCTGAGGTTGTAAATTTGGTGATATCATAGGGATTACATGGCCACATACTTGTTCGTTTAGGATTAAATTAGGATCCGCAAATTCCTGCTTGAAGTTTGAATTAATCCATGATGGTATAACTTCTTCATAAATATTTGAATATCTTGAATTAATTTCAGGTGGATTAAATGATGATTGGTTTATTGAACACTCTTTCAGAGCGCTATTAAAATCGTCCTGGTTATCCGCTGTATTTTTGTTCTTTTCCAAATCAGTATTTTCATGCATGTTTTTTTCCACTATCCCCATTTCAACATAATCATCTTCGGCTGTGGTCGCACTATCTTCGGGAGGACTTTGTGAAAGTTTGTCGTATACACCAATAAACTTTAACAACTTTTTCGCATGAAACAAATTAACATTTATAGCTTTAAAGTTGTCTAAATCAAGACCTTTAAGGATCGTACCATCTATCATCTCGTTCGCGAATAGTTCAACGTAATCCTGCATATTTAAGCATCGTAGAACATTGCCAACATCCTCTACGGACAAAAGCGATAAATCCTGTGGATTTTCTGAAATTCCTGTACACGGATTTTGGTTTTCATCAACAAGCGTATGATGGAATTTCTCAGTTAACACTCGTGAAGGTTTATTCTTGGGTTCGGGAAGTTTCGTTCCACGATTTTGTGGAAACTGATAAAACGAAGAAAGTTTATGAACTTCAACTTGAATGTGGGGTTTAAGAGATTGAAAGTAGAGTTTAAGGGAATGAATATGGGTATTAAGAGATTGAATATGGGGTTTAAGAGATTGAATATGAGGTTTAAGAGATTGAATGTGGGGTTTACGAGATTGAATATGGGTGTTAAGAGATTGAATATGGGTGTTAAGAGATTGAATATGGGGTTTAAGAGATTGAATATGGGGTTTAAGAGATTGAATATGGGTGTCAAGAGATTGAATATGGGTGTCAAGAGATTGAATATGGGTTTACGAGATTGAGTATGGGGTTTAAGAGATTGAATATGGGATTTACGAGGTTGAATATGGGGTTTAAGAGATTGAATATGGGGTTTAAGAGATTGAATATGGGTTTACGAGATTGAATATGGGGTTTACGAAATTGAATATGGGGTTTAAGAGATTGAATATGGGGTTTAAGAGATTGAATATGGGGTTGAAGAGATTGGATATGGGGTTTAGTGTTGAACGGCATAGTTGGAACTAATACAAACAAAAAATATTAAACATAACATATAAAAGACGCAGTACAAGGTGTAGTTTGTTTAATTACAGCAAAAAATATTTCGATGCCATGTTTACATAACTATGATGATGCCATGTTTATATAATTTGCGGAATTATATCTTCGTGCGATTTACAATACTCAGATCTTTTAAACTTCCTGGAATCTGAATCCCATTCGAATTTTGAATCCATATCTTCATAAACATACTTATCTATTTCGCACTGGACATTTTCAGACTATCTGAAGATTTATTTTTTGCATAGGTTCGTTTGTGTGCTTCAAATTTGGTCTGAGGTTGTAAATTTGGCGATATCATAGGGATGACACAGCTTTGTGTTACGTCCGTCCGAGGCGAGATATTAGGTAAAATAAAAACAGTCATATATGAATACCGAAATAATAGGAATAAGTCCATGAGAACTACAAAGGTATACTACTACATTTCCTCTTAGACCGACCATAATATTGCACATGTCAAAAATCATGATCTACCAATTATCTTACCTGAGTAACTGCATAAGGCTGAGTTTCAAATTTCGTTTCTGATGTTTTTTCAAATTTCACATTTGATGCCGTTTGCGGAATTATATCTTCGTGCGATTTACAATTCTCAGATCTTTCAAGCTTCCTGGAATCTGAATCCCATTCGAATTTTGGATCCATATCTTCATAAACATATTTATCCATTTCCCACTCGACATTTTCATGACTATCTGAAGATTTATTTTTTGCATCGGTTCGTTTGTGCGCTTCAAATTCCTTGGTCTGAGGTTGTGAATTTGGTGATATCATAGGGATGACATAGCCACTGTGAACTTTAGATAATTGTTCGTCTAGGATTAAATTAGGATTCTCAAATTCGTGTCTGAAGTTTGAATTCCATGGTGGTATAACTTCTTCATAAATATTTGAATATCTTGAATTAATTTCAGGTGGATTAAATGATGCTTGGTTTATTGAGCATTCTGTCAGAGCGCTATTAAAATCGTCCTGGTTATCCGCTGTATTTTTCTTCTTTTCCAAATCAATATTTTCATACATATTTTTTCCCACTATCCCCATTTCAACATAATCATCTTCGACTGTGTTCGCACTATCTTCGGGAGGACTTTGTGAAAGTTTGTCGTATACACCAACAAACTTTAACAACTTTTTCGCATGAAACAAATTAACATTTATGGCTTTAAAGTTGTCTAAATCAAGACCTTTAAGGATGGTACCATCTATCATCTCGTTCGCGAATAGTTCAACGTAATCCTGCATATTTAAGCATCGTAGAACATTGCCAACATCCTCTACGGACAAAAGCGATAAATCCTGTGGATTTTCTGAAATTCCTGTGAACGGATTTTGGTTTTCATCGACAAGCATACGATGGAATTTCTCAGTTAACACTCGTGAAGGTCTATACTTGGGTTCGGGAAGTTTCGTTCCACGATTTTGTTGAAACTGCATGATAAAAACAGAAGAAAGTTTATGAACTTCAACTTGAATGTGGGGTTTAAGAGATTGAAAGTAGAGTTTAAGGGTGTGAATATGAGTATTAAGAGATTGAAAGTGGAGTTTAAGAGATTGAATATGGGGTTTAAGAGATTGAATATGGGATTTACGAGATTGAGTATGAGGTTTCAGAGATTGATATGGGTATTAAAAGATTGAAAGTGGAGTTTAAGAAATTGAATATGGGGTTTACGAGATTGAATATGGGGTTTACGAGATTGAATATGGGATTTACGAGATTGAATATGGGATTTACGAGATTGAATATGGGGTTTAAGAGATTGGACATGGGGTTTAGTGTTGAACGGCATAGTTGGAACTAAAACAAACAAAAAATAAACATAACATATAAAAGATGCAGTACAAGGTGTAGTTTGTTTAGTTACAGCAAAAAATATTTCGAAGATGCCATGTTTACATAATTATGATGATGCCATGTTTATATAATTTGCGGAATTATATCTTCGTGCGATTTACAATACTCAGATCTTTCAAACTTCCTGGAATCTGAATCCCATTCGAATTTTGAATCCATATCTTCATAAACATATCTATTTCGCACTGGACATTTTCATGACTATCTGAAGATTTATTTTTTGCATAGGTTCGTTTGCGTGCTTCAAATTTGGTCTGAGGTTGTAAATTTGGTGATATCATAGGGATGACACAGCCTTGTATTACGTCCGTCCGAGGCGAGATATTAGGTAAAATAAAAACAGTCGTATATGAATACCGAAATAATAGGAATAAGTCCATGAGAACTACAAAGGTATACTACTACATTTCCTCCTAGACCGATCAAAATATTGCACATACCAAAAATCATGATCTACCGTTCTGTTTTTGTGAGCGGAATACCCACGGAATAGTTGAATGTACTAGGTTGATCTAACAATTATCTTACCTGAGTAACTGCATAAGGCTGAGTTTCAAATTTCGTTTCTGATGTTTTTTCAAATTTCACATTTGATGCCGTTTGCGGAATTATATCTTCGTGCGATTTACAATTCTCAGATCTTTCAAGCTTCCTGGAATCTGAATCCCTTTCGAATTTTGGATCCATATCTTCATAAACATATTTATCCATTTCCCACTCGACATTTTCATAACTATCTGAAGATTTATTTTTTGCATCGGTTCGTTTGTGCGCTTCAAATTCCTTGGTCTGAGGTTGTGAAGTTGGTGATACCATAGGGATGACATAGCCAATGTGAACTTTAGATAATTGTTCGTTTAGGATTAAATTAGGATCCTCAAATTCCTGTTTGAAGTTTGAATTCCATGGTGGTATAACTTCTTCATAAATATTTGAATATCTTGAATTAATTTCAGGTGGATTGAATGACGCTTGGTTTATTGAACATTCTGTCAGAGCGCTATTAAAATCGTCCTGGTTATCCGCTGTATTTTTCTTCTTTTCCAAATCAGTATTTTCATACATATTTTTTTCCACTATCCCCATTTCAACATAATCATCTTCGGCTGTAGTCGCACTATCTTCGGGAGGATTTCGTGAAAGTTTGTCGTATACATTTACCTTGTCTGTGGTCGTACTGATTTCGGGACTACTACTACTTCGTGAAAGTTTTTTGTATACATGTACCTTGTCTGTGGTCGTACTGATTTCAGGACAACTTCGTGATAGTTCGTCGTATAGTTGTAGCTTGTCTGTGGTCGTACTGTTTTCGAGACGACTTCGTGAGAGTTCGTCGCATAACTCGACTGTGGTCGTACTATCTTCGGGAGCACTTTCTGTGGGTTGTTTAGGATCACCTAATGCATACTTGGTATCTTTTAGGTGCTCAGGCACGCCAGACGCGATCCTTTTCTTGGGTTTGGGAGAAACTGGGGGTGGACTTCTCGGCGCATTATTTCGCACTGGACTCAGTGAGGTTTCGGGTTGTGGTCGTGGAACGGTCGCCATACTTTCGGACAAATCGTATAGCTTTACAGCGTTTATATCTTGGAATACATTTATTCTCTCTGAGAGGTTCTTTCTGTTGAAACCTGCGTGTAGCGAACGAACAACATCTTTATAACTTTGGCCATTTTTAGTGAAACGTTCTGCGACTGCGCAGTGGATGGGTAGGTCCGTCGGTAGACCCATACAATGCTTTACTTCACCCACCCCTCCGACGATAGTTGCGATAACTTTAACCTCCTTTAGCACTTTATGAAAGATCACTTCAGTGAGACCTGTTAACGCGCTGCTCCACTGATCCGAGTTTTGATCAGCCTGCGAACGGGTTGTTTCAAAGCACACCCTCGAATGCAGGCCGTAGTTGATCACAACTTCCGACAGTGTGTATTTCCGGCTGTCTAGTAATGGGGTGAAAATCGCCGGGGATGTGTAGGAAAGAGTGACGTCTCCTTTAGTATCAGTATTCTGACAAACGACACTTTTCTTTTTTTTGTCAATCTTTTGAATTTGTAGTATGTCACCAACTTTGAGCGAGCGTCGTAAAATGTCACTGGCATTCCTTGAATGAGTCCCGCAGCTTTTCACTCGTACGTATTGTACTTTAGGAAAGATAGACTTAAAATCTTCGACTTTACATGGCGTGTACTTACATTTGGACGGGCAGACCAGGACTTGTGTTGGACACGTCAATGGAATGATTACTTGCTTGCCCGAACTGTCCGTACCAAGTAGCTTTCGGACTGAATATATCTCGTGGAAGGCCAGTATCTGTTCGCTACTTATGCTTGTTTCTTCGTTCTTGCTGCAGAAGCCATCCACGACTCGAACAATCTGAGGCAGTTGATATTCTTTAAGAAATTCTGATAAATTCTTCCGTGTTTTGCTCCAAATGAACGATCCAGTGAGTTCCGTATCGTTCGCCATTTCACACTGTTAAATCACAAATTAGATCTGAACAATTGTGCTTTAATTAAATAATCACCAACGACTTGGTCAGAACAGTTTCGAACTGTACTCGAAGATATCACAGTTAGCTGGTACGTCACTCAGAGATTGTCGGCGAAATTGCAACCAGAATGATAAGTGTACACTAGCTGCTCTAATAACCCTCAACTTGTAATGATTACTACTTGCAGTGGAGTTGTTACTCAATACCTTGCTAGAGTCATACGTGCAGACGTTCCGCGTAATTAAACACTCTACATTTTTTAACGTTCATTATCATAGGATTACGATATACTGTACTGGAAATTGAGCACTGAAATTTCTGATATAGTGTACTTGTATTTTGGCACGGCACAATTAAGTTCGACGTCTAAATCAGTTGCCGAGCTTGTGGCGTATTTAATTTGATTAGGTTCGGCGCACGAAAACGAATAGCCGTCTAAAACCGACCCTAATAAACATGTTGTTGCCACGAAGCAAAACAATGATACTTCAGGTGGCACCCTATGGTTCTAATATCCGCAAGTAATTTTATGTGGCGACGATTAATTTTGTTCTATGACTTTACAGAATTTAGTCTTGGAGCCATGGAGTATATATAATCATAACAGAAGTGTTAACAACTTGAAATATGATAATTGATTTTATTTAAAATTATTTTATTCAAAAATAGTTCAAAAAAAGCAACCCTTGACACGCATGTTTTTCAAGTATAAGACTAATAACTGCATGCATAATACTTCGTAAACAAATAACGATTATGCACACAGTATTTCGGAATACGTACAGAGGTAACTTTCAGTACTACAACAAAAGTTCAAAGCTGTCTTAAATTTTTTTGTTTAATAATCATGATATTTCCGCAATACGATTATTACAAATGTGGCGTTTTCCCGTTCCAATGGTCGAACGGTTTTATTGTTCCAATGACATAAATCAGGAAGTACAATGATTGATCCTAGTGATATAATCTTGAACGCAGTGGCGAAGCAAGCCATAGCAACAGGTCATGCCATGCAAATTTTTGATGACTTGCATTTTATTTAAACCTTTAGAAATGTATTGTCTTTAACCTATTTAGATACAGGTTTATTTAGCATAGCATGATCAGTTGCCTGTGTAGGTATGTAATTATTATTATTGTATGGCTTTTCAAAGTTCTCTATTCTGATTGGTTGACAAGCGGTCCGTAAAAACCCATATCCGGACCGTGGTCCGTATTTTCCGTATCTCGACCGGTGTCCCGGATGTCGTTTATCTGGCGGGAAATTTTTGCTTCGCAAACAGAAAAAAATTTTGCTTTTTAATTTTCCAATTACATATATCTCATTATATATGTAATCGAGTAGATGACGTCACATGGTTACAAACAAAATGAAATATCTTAAGAACTAAGCATGGGAACAAAAATCTTCAAAACAAGTTATTATACAGTTTTACGAGCACTTTCGTTTAAGAAAATAAAAATTTTGATCATACTGCGCCTTTAAGCTTTCTATAATAATACATCAAGTGGTGGCAATTGCCAGATTGCATCTATTTTCCGCACAGGGTTTTGAGGACATCCTTTTGCCAATGATTAGATTGCTACCCCCTGAAATTCAGTTCATTTACATCCCTGCTTTGGAATCTCCTATGAATTTCTATGATTTTGTTGCCAGACACCCCCGGAAAAGTGGCTAGTATAGATAAATGATGGGATTAACTGCTAGGGTAAATACCATTTCAAATTTGCAATAAATTTCAATTACCTTTTCAGTTCAGGCATGACAGTTTTACTCAGTGGGCATGCAGATCTGTTTAGATAACTCAAAGTCCAATGTAAACATGAACATTGAAGCCGACAGCTTTTCATAATCATGTTGCCCATAATTATATTTCCCGAGGGGGGGGGGGCTTTGTCCCGAGCAGAGGGTGTTTGCCCCATCGCTCCTTTGATTATCTCTTGTTTGTGTGATTACCACGCGTGGTTCACGCGAATCATATCTCCCTGGTAACATGATCAAATCATTGAAAGCTACGTCGAATACGATGACGTAAGGCATGATTCGATGATAAAATTCATGCACAAATGGCACAAATTAAACTTTCTCATTCGACACTTTGAATTTGAGGTATAATGTTAACCCGCAATGACGTCATGCGTAAAAGAACCGGTGCATTAATAGAACCATCTAAAAAACAAGTACCACTTCAGTTAATTTAATTTTTAAGATAATTTAGCATCCTGGTACCCTGCGATTCTGGTGCAGCGCTCTAACCAACTGAGGTACAGACTCCGGTTGTTTAGCTGATCCATAGATATCTTATATGCACTAGATAGAGCATCTCTTTTAGTAAAATTGAAGCCAAGAATATTCCAGTGGTTACCCCCATTTGAATAGATGGCGGCCATGTTGGTCGTTCCCACTTGCTAATAAACGCTTAAAAACAACAATACCTTTCATCATTTGAATAGTTTAAAAACGTATTTGGAATAGGGTTAACTTCTTGTTTAAGTTCCGTGTTTAAGAAATAGGAAATATACAAATCTTCTCATTTTATGGGAACGACCTGAGACTGCAATCACGGCTTCAATTTTTGAATTGCAGAATAATTAGATGCACTATCTAGTGTATATAAGATATCTATGAGCTGATCACACGATTTTTATTTGTGAAAGATACAATTTCAAGCTCATTAATAATTCATGAGTAAAATTAGCCAACCATATTGCTTTATTTTGCTCACATGATAATACTGGACACCTGGTGGAGTTTATTGATCCAGTGCTAGGACTGGATCAAAATTAATTCAGTCCTAGGACTGGATCAAAATTAATTCACCTCACTTTAATTAATTATTAATTCGTAAGAGATGTCATTTCAAATCATCCAATTCAGACTGGACTAGATTTCAAGTCCTCGCATTTTGATCGAATTGCGCTGACTTGAAATCTAGTCCAGTTTGGAGGATTTGAAATATTACATAAACACTGTTAATTTTATTAAAAATTTATGCATAAGGCACAGTATGTTCAACCGAAATAATGCGTTCTTTATTATAGTCTGTTTTATTGTATTGTAATATTCTAAAGTTAATATTTGAATACTTCAGCATGGTGTTTTTGATCTTATTTTGGAATTGGGTCGCCAACCTCCAATAAACTTAATTAATTTTGTAACATGGAATGGAATTAAATTCAGTGATTCCAAACTCTCTTTGTCCATGCTGGCCAACATGGCACCGTCTATCAATTCTGCTTCAAATGTTTCAACATACTTTCCCATTCCTAAGTAATTCAATAACGCGCTCACATCAGTAATGCTCAAACTTGATAAATCTATTGGATATTTGGAAATTGCTTCGTAAATTTCTTCTTTTTGTTCGGGTGTGGGTACCGGCATTATGTTGGTAGGGAGTGAAGGGGGTTGGCCTGGCAGGCTGGTTGGTAATGCAGGGTTGGTGTTGGTTACCATAGTGGGAGACTCATGGCTGTCAGTAGGTGCAGTCTTTCTCTCGTGTACTGTGGACACGTCAGTCTTTCTGTCAGGCACTTTAAATCTGCTAGGCAATTGAGGCGGGTTGTCGGGAAGAGCCCTGATAGGCAATGCAACTGCGTTGTTAGGCAAGTGCGGGTTGGTGAGTATAACAGATCTGTTGCGCCTTGAAGGCAGCCTATCAGGCACTGGAGGAGGCCGACGATTGCAGAGAATGGAATTGCTTCCCGATTCTACAGATTGGTTACTATCTGAGGTTGCAGACAACTGACTGCCCAAGTGTGAAGGTGGGTTCGATTTTGCAGGTTGTTTATTTCCTGAGGTGGGTGTTGATTTACTACTCAAAATTGCAGGAGTTATTGGATTTGATTCAGCAGGGTGTTTGACATCAGGTTTTGCATATTCATGACTGTTTGTAGGGATGTTTGGTGGGTCAAGCTCAGTGTATGTAGAGTTGTCCAGAAATCTGCATTCTGTATACGTCGGTTCAGTAAATCCAATCTCTTCATAAATTTCATTTGGGTCAGTATATGTCTGTTCTATTTCGTCCTTAGGTAGGACTGGTTTAGATGGTATTGCCTTTGCTCGATTTGACTTAGCCTTTGACGAGCCTAACCGTGGGCGTGGTGGGATTACCTTAGCTGGCTTTGGCTTGCTTGTTTTTTTTAAAGGTGGAACTCCTTTCTTTATATTTTTTGAACCGGATTTACTTGCCACATTGAGTGAAAACTCTCTCAAATTTTGGGTCATATCGATATATTCGGAAATGGCTGTATAGATATTTTGATTATCAACATCCTGGTTAAAACTGTGACAAATGTTGACATAATCTGCGCTTTCTCTGAACGCATCTTCACACACAAGAAGACAGATATCTATATCAGGGGAGAATTGCACCATACTTTGTTCGCCATTATTTCGCATTGCTGTTGCCGTAATAACTGTCCTAGTAGATGTCCTATCCAGACAAATAGTACCGGGGGGTTGATAGAGGGGTTTATCTTTCGATCGGGTTCGTTGATCCATTGTATAAGGTTCAACGAATCGCACGTAAAGCGGCAGTGAGAATTTTTTAAGAACCTCGGCTAGGTAATACTCTTTTCCATCAGCCATAGGTTGGAAGCCAGCCACACAATCTTTAGGCAGTTCAACAGTATGACCATTCTGATTGACACATATCAACGTTTTTTCACCTTTCTTGGTTTTAGCAATACTTTTCAACTGCAATTTATCACCAACATTGAGGATTTCCTCGTCTTTGGATGCATCATAATAACCTTTATATCAATATAAAAGCGATCACGTTACATTACATTACATTACATTAAAAAAAGAGTGAACAAAAATGTAAATCACATCACGGAATATATTAGTAAGGAAATGCAAAAAATATAGACGGAAAATTATGAAACAAGTATGGAGTATCAGTTATATCACCAATACTTTCGATGGACGTCTCGTATACGTACGCTACCATTTCAAGCCGTGACAGGAAGTTTGTCTTACTCTAGCACTGCATGAGTCTGTGGAGTAGTTTGTCTGCAGAGTCAAGATTGCTCTGAAGGTAAAGCTCTGTTTTACTCGTCGTTCGAAACTGTATTAAATTCATACGTAAATAAATAAATACAAGACACGATTTCCATACAATCATTTATTTCAAACAGTTTCTTTTGCCGTCGTCCTGACGTCGCCGTCTTACATGCGTTCTTGGAATGCAGGACGGGAACGCGACGGGAAACAAACTCACTGAATCAAATTATTACCAGAATAAAACTTGTTGTCTGTTGTCCATCGTATGAAAATAATGACAGTTTATGGATCAAGATTAACATAGGGTTTATGATTGAGAAACGTTGCCCCGGCTTGAAATGTATAAAGCGTTGTATACAAGACGTGATAATCTGTATTTTGCCATATTTGTAAACAGAGCGTCTAAAACTTCCGTGGAATTTTAATTGTTAATTTCTGCTCATTCACTTGAGCTCAATAGACGCCCTTGTTGCACTTTTGTCCAGCTTGTTGAGGTTCTTAATAACTGTAGTTCTTTATAATTATAAAAGTGTAAAATTTAAGGTGGTTTCTTGTCACTTCCTTGTACTAAATTAAGCCTACAGTATAATTATAATTAATTCACCTTGCGAAATACGGACATAACTTGGGAATGCCGAACATAATTCCTCAACGCTTTCATAAACATCTTTCAAATTCGGTGGACGCACTTCGATCTTTTTCCGACACTCAAGCGAGATTGAAATATTGTTACCGCTGCTATCTCGACCGTGTAGCTTCTCCATGGATTTCACAGAATGCAAACATAATACTTGATCTCCTCCTAGAGTCGATTCATCGTTTTCGCCATAGAAACCAGCAGTAACTTTAGCAATCTGCGGTAATTTGAATTTTCTTAAGAATTCAGAGACGGTGAAATAGGCTGTGCTCCATTTAAGTTTATTCAATTCCAGTTTCTTTATGTCTTGCGATGAATTGTCCATGACTGTTTAATTTAGAGTGTGGTGTAGGGTATCATTCGTGTTTGCGCAGCGTCTGATTGAACTCCAGGGAATGCATTGTGATTGTGTGATGCAATTTTGTCGGCGTCCAGTGAGCTCTATATAACTTCTGGAGTGAGAACTCAAGTTCAAAAAGTGAGGCCAAGTGGAGCTATTTTTGTCTGCGCGGTTGCCGAAACTTGGCATGATTTTGACATCGATTCAAAGAATAATACTATGCGATAGATGAACCAGGCGGAAATCGTAATCTTAAGACAAATATTAATGCCCAGCATAAAATACGTTAAAGAGCCATGACAAAAATATAGTTTAAAATATTTATTAGAAAGCTAACGTTTCGTCTTTAACTTAAGACATCTTCAGAGCAATGACATACAAAGCGGAAAACACAGAAATATGAGTAAATTTAAAATACAACTATTTACAAGATATTATACTAGTTTACCCACAGGGTAGTGAATGCTGCCTTGGTATATCATTGTTCCCAAATCTTTAATATTTTAAAGAATAAGAGTAAGAAATATTTGTAATGAATTGGAATCATCAATATTTATACACTTGAATGTGCCGTATGATAACTCGGCGCTCGAAGTTTCGTATCGAAAGAGGAACAGCCGAACAGGTACGATGGCTAACAAGAATGAGTGTACTTATCAACTTATCTAACGCGAGGAAAAGATCAAAATGGCAGGTACGGCTGTGATATCTAGTATATAAAATTGTATAGACAATTTGCCTACAAATACGGTGCTAGGTTAAAACGGCCCCGCTTCAATAATCATATGATTTAGACCAGGGGTTAAAGGGCAATGACAATGACATGCAGGTGACATTTAACATATGCGAGTGTGCGTCTCACTAAATTTGCGTGTTTAATAATGTTTATCAAAGAAGGCAAAAATATATACAAGACAACCTCACATGTGGAATCTGTTCACTTATGCACTGCGTTGTGATGCAGTACAAGTACAAATACAAATAACAAAGCATTTTTAAAGGTTTTAAATCCTAAAACATAATTAAGGCATACGGCATATTCAAGATTTTAATATCGTATTTCAGCCGCGTTTATACTGCTTGGCGCGCATTCGCTGCGTTATATTAATTTATATACCTATGTTATATACACATATTTATTACTAATAAATCAACACTATATGATAATATATAAGAACTCACAAAGTGCAGTCACCTTTTTATAAATAAACCTTTTTGACCTTTTTAAAAACATGTCATTGTCATTGCAGACCAGAGGCAAAAAGCACAGCCACATAGGCCTACCAGATTTATTAAGCAATCGTGAGATTATATACATGAAAGAATATGGAAATTATGTTAAAAGCACCCCGTATAATGACGAAAGCACCGCGTATAATAATGCTCGAACCACTGCGTATAATGGCGAACGCACCGCGTATAATGGCGAAAGCACCACGTATAATGCTCGAACCACTGCGTATAATAGCGAAACCACCGCGTATAACGCTCGAACCACTGCGTATCGACAACATGCCGTTTGATCACTTACGCCAGCTATGGCTTTCCATAAGAGAAAACCAAAGATAAAAGATGATCACATTGCTTGTTTGCCTTATGCCTGTTTATTAGGCAAGAATAGCCTGCCGGCCCGGAAGCAGTGCATTGTGGTAGGCAGTATATATTTCATAATTTCCAGTCTTAAATCCGTCTGACCGTGTAGCTCAGTTGGTAGAGCGTCGATCTAGTAATTCGAAGGTCGCGGGTTCAAGACCCAGCCGCGGCAGACAACATCTTTCTGCTTGCGCTGGGTATGGAAATTATATAATACACACTCTAGAACATTTTCATCTTAACATATTACAGAGTGTACAATTACACAACTAACATAACGCTTGTAGAACTAGTATTGTTCGATGCTGAAATAATATAAACGAGTACGTTTATGACATTCAGTATATATATACATTCAGTAGGTAGAGCGTCGATCTAGTAATTCGAAGGTCGCGGGTTTGCGACCCAGCCGCGGCAGACAACATCTTTCTGCTTGCGCTGGGTATGGAAATTATATAATACACACTCTAGAACATTTTCATCTTAACATATTACGGAGTGTACAATTACATAACTGCTGCCTAACCTGCGATCAGGCTTATCGGGGAGGAAAGGGAAAGTAATTGCTCGGTCTCTTTAGGCTCGCTCGCTGCGGAGCAATTACAAAAGTAGGAAGAGGAATGGATCAAAGAGAGGGTTTGAGTTTGTTAATGAGAAGACTTTCTCGAATGAGGAGTTCGTCTGGAGAAGAACAACAAGAAATAATCTTAAAATCATTAAGAGAGGCGGAGTGACCAGTGCTATCAATGGGAAAAGATGCTAGACATGGTGGGATTAATTGCTGCTTTTACTGCCTGAGTGCCTGTTATAGTATAGGAGAAACACCCAAGTGTTCAGATACTCGTGTGTGCAAGTGACGGACGGTTTGGCCCAAATACGCTGCGGAACAGCAACGACGTTAGCTTTCTAGTTTCTAATAAATATTTTAAACTATATTTTTGTTATGGCTCTTTTACGTATTTTATGCTGGGCATTAATATTTATCTTAAGATTAATAATACTATGGTCTATGGTTTTATGAACTGACTTGTTTAGCGATCAGTTAAAAAAGCTGGAATTACCCATTTACCTGGGGAAATGGTATTATAACTGTTTACGACCTTCAGAGATATTGGACGTCACTAAATGGTCGCCATCTTGGCTTCACTTCACTCATAGGCCGAATGACTGAAGTTCTTGCTCCAAATATACAGCCAATTAAAAAAAGGTTGTCCTTTGCAAACCTTAAACTCTAAACCTTAAACCTTACACTTACTTACATTCTTCTCGTTAAGCCTGGTTCACATATACCTGCGGTATGTCGGTGGGCTATACTTGTCGTTAGCAGAACCAAATAATTCACGAAAGAATGTATGCATCAACAGCTGTAAACAATCATACCGCAGGCATATGTGAGCCAGATATTTACCATGTCTCTAAACTGATTAAATGGTGCTCCCACCATGCTTTAAGGTTTCGAGTCTAAGGTTTGCAAAGGACAACCTTTTTTGAATTAGCTGCATGGAGAGCTCACTGACCAAAATACGTCACGGCGACATAAAATCACATCGCTCAGCAGGCGATAGCATGGTTCCTCATTTAAATAAATATGTACTAAACTTTGGATAGCTCTATGACCTCTATCAGTTTTCCTTGGAGGTCCGTAAGGGTCATAGTGGTCATCCCTGATTGTTCCAGTGTTTCTGCAACTAAAATAAACCAGTGAAGTTTGTTTATGCTGAATAGCACTATCAATTCTAAACTGTATCCAGTAAGGACAGTTCCATGTTTGTCCAATAAGGATCCAGTGTTGATTTGTGAAACTCGGCTTGCGATGTTTGGTTAATTGAGTCAAACTGGAAGAACTCTTGCCTTGTGTTTGATAATGATATGGTTTATTTGTTCTCGGCAGGTTGCGATAATTTTATTATTATTAAAACCTTATTTACATACGGAGTCGTATGCAGCCGAGTAAAATTAAATATCATTATGCATATACATACAAACAGACATGAGACAATAACAGGATTTCAACAAATAAAGATCGGATTTATAATCATAGCCAGGGTAAAAACTTTAAGACATTAGTCAATGATTACATTGTATAAGTGTTTAAATTGATCAACTGATTTAGCATTAGTTGTATGTACAGCTAAGTGCTGTCTAGTGAAATAGCTTTCCTCGTCTACCTCAGTATAAAGGAACTTTTCTTTAGGGCCTCGGTCAAAGGTCTCGGAACAAACAAGTTAGAGTCTGAACCACGCACGTAAACTACAGCTGTGGATTGACGGAACCGCATGCAGTAAATCTATTAGAAAGATATTCCGGTACCAATAATTCTCAGGGATTTTTAGTTGTACCTCACTGGTATACTCCAATGATTATTGCCACGTACTTGAGCTGGTATAAGCTTGAGACTCAAGGTGTACCTAGTCTTTAATAATGGACAATTCTTTAAAAGGTATTCATTCAGTAAACTGAAAATATACGAGTTAATTGAGTGACAGCGCTCTTCTTGTGATAAATGAACCGCCTAAACTCGCCCTAAATCGCGGCATATAATTTACTGAAATTCTCTTAAGTATTTGTTGATGTATAAAAGGCGTTATAAAGTTAATAAATAAATAAATAAATAAATCTTATATAGTGTAGGTTTTTGTCACCGTAAATTTTACTACTGTACAACGCTTTAGAATATTTTATAATTTAATTAAGCGTTATATTTAAATGAATATTATGTCATTGAGTTGATTTCACAGTTGGCTGTTAGCCAATCAGAGACCATGAATCTTTTAAATAATAATAATAATAAATATTATTAAAATCCTGATAATTGCATGTAAAACACATACAATCGACTCCAACATTTCTTAGTCTTGTACCATCAGTCCAATCATGTTTCATGCCAGAACATGAAAGGTTTACGGTTTTAAATAGACTGCGAGCGGTCCCTCCTTTCCGCGGGGGACTGCTCGCGGTCTAGGTTTTAAATATCTACAGGAAAGTTTGCTGGTCATGCATATGATACCAGCAAAAAGTCTATATGTGCGCTAGCATGGCTAAAAACAAAGAAGTTCTAGACGGTAATATTAGCGGATCTCCGGTACGTAAGCATTGGGATTGCCGCACCCTGTTTTCGGAG